CGAAACTCTGCGTTTAAGCCCCCGAGACCCTCCCAAAGCCCCGGTTTTTTCACCTTCAAGTCCCGAAGGAAGGTTTGGTGCTCCCAAGAGTTCTGAGAATCCCAAGATTTTTCCGTGTTTTCATCTCTTCCTGTCGAAGTTCTGCTCGATTCTTCTCTCGACTACTTCAAATCAACCACTTCAATCAAGTGAGTTCATACCCCTATAAACTACACTTTCAAATGATTTATAAATGCTTTTTATACACTTTTAAGGGGGAGAATACAAGTAAACACACGGCTATCCCGGTGTAAAAGACATAAATCTTTTTTATACTTTTTGGTTATGAAATCAATCACATGTGATTTACAACTAACATACAATTGGACTTACTACACTTTTAGCCGTTTCACCAAACAGAGTACTTCAAATAGCTTTCTCAAACGTTTTTACATGTTAAAACACTTTTAGAAAGTGTCTTGCAAATTGTATGTTTCCTTTTTGAATCTGATATAGTTGTGCTTCAAACAAAGTTTCCTTTATACTTAAACTGTTTTTGTCAAACAAATACTTCCTAACCGTTTTATAAACTGACATCAACTCGTTCTTTTCTTAAGTATTAATCTTTTTCAAAGGTTTTATAAAACTCCTTATATGCTTTTATATTGTCAATTTCATGCCTATATAGGTGTAGTTAGATAAATAATGTTTAAAAGACTTAGGAAGGCTAACCCGCTTTATTTCCTTTTCCCCATTGGGATGTGGTCTGGTAGGGTATCGGGTATCCGTCCGAAGGTCATTTAACTATCAGTTATATATCATTTATACATACAAAGACATAAAAGTTTTCCCCAGTCAGTTCAGTACCTTTGGGTAGCAAAGGCATACTTCAGGTTATACACATACATGTTAGTAACTATTATAAATATAGATAGGAGATACCACTTACTATTCCAAGTATAGGGAAATCACACAAGAGTTAGTACATTCACGAGTCTATACTTGTACGTTACATGATACATGAGTACATTACCTTATACATGACTACGTTTACATATATACGCTTACATGAGTACGTTTACATGAATACCTTTACATAAATACTTTACATAGATACTATATGATAAGATACTATTACATATTATTAGTGAAGATATTATTAGATTAGATATGTCGATCCTAGTACCAAAGGGTACTATAAGGGGTTAACCACTCCTAATCCCTTTGTTAGCTACAGAGGTAAATGCACATCTACGAATGTCTACGGTTGATACCATTACAGGTATACTTAAGGGACTAACTATTCCTACACCCGGCCGTTAGCAACGGAGGTAAATGCACATCTACGAATGTCTATGGTTGATCCATTTACGGCGAGTTTCAACGCCGTGTTTGTTCTAGTAACAAAGGATAATACTTATGTTATTAGCTCATTACCTTTATTTTGTGATACATTCACATAACGATAGGGTAGACTAATACCTATATAATTGTATTGTTACCTTTATTTGGTGTCACGTTCACCTAACCGACGAGGTAGATCATACTGGAATATGTTATACCAAAGGATACAACATAAGTTATTATATTATTACTTTTATAGTTTTTTAATAATAGTTAAACAGGGGAAAAACCGTCACATTTACAGTGATGCGTACTTTCAAAACTGTCAGGTCTTGGTAGAAGACTACTTTCAAAACATTCGGGTCTTGGTAGAAGACTACTTTTTATACTAGTAGGAAATATGGGATTTTCTAGGGTCTTCATACTTATACTAAATGTTTCATCAAACATTCACCAGTCTTTCATAACAAATTTTCAAAGCAATAACATTAAAATACTTATGAATTCACCAACTCTATTGTTGATACTCGCTTTCAAAATAACTTGTATTCTCAGGTTACAAATAAGATAGGTACCGATGCAAGGTTTAGAGAAGACGGAGTAGTCAAGACTTATCTTTTATTTTGAGTATTCATTATGTTGTTTTATACTATGAAAGAACACACTTGTAAGCAAAATTATTCTATTAATACAAATGGATGATGTTGTTGCTTGTTTACTACTTTACATTGTTGTGATACATACATGACGTCCTCCACCCCAGAATGTTTCCGCTATTCTCGGTTTTGGGGTGTGACACCAGCAGTATTGATGGACCTTATGAATCAAGTATGCATGGAGATGCTCGATCGCTCAGTTATTGTGTTCATCGATGATATCTTGGTCTATTCAAAGACTAGAGAGCAGCATGAGGAGCATCTCTGCAAGCTTTTGGGAGTATTGAGGCGAGAATGACTTCACGCCAAGTTCTCAAAGTGTGTGTTTTGGATGAGATAAGTTTAGTTCCTTGGACATCTCATTAACTAGGGTAAGATTTTGGTCGACCCGGCCAAAATTGATGCAGTGATGCAGTGGGAGATTACGAAATCTCACTCAGATATCAAGAGTTTTCTAGGTTTAGCAAGGTACTACCGGAGATTCATCCAGGATTTCTCCAAAATTGTAGTAACCCTCACTCATCTGACGAGGAAGGGGGTAGATTTTCGGTGGGGCTCTGAGCAACAAACAACGTTTGATATTGGCAGCGATTGTGCGAGGCTCCATTTTTTACCCTCTCGGAGGGAGTAGAGGATTTTGTGGTTTTCTGTGATACATCCATCACTAGTTTGGGAGCAGTCCTCATGTAGAGAAGACGAGTAACAGCCTATGCATTGCGGAAGTTGAAGCCGCATGAGTCAAGATATCCCACGCATGCATGATCTTAAGTTGGGATCGGTGGTGTTCGCTCTCAAGATCTAAAGGCATTACCTGAATGGGGTCTGTTGTACAATCTACACGGACCACAAGATCTTGAGACACATCATGGATCATCTGAATCTAAAAATGAGGCAACGCATGTGATTGGACGTAGTCAAGGATTATGACTGCGAGATCCTTTACGATCCAGGTAAAGCGAACGTGGTGGCAAATGACTTGAGCCGCAATTCGGCTGGATCTTCTGTTCCGACATCGTGTATGAGGATTTCCGTGGACTCCCCATTGGTGGGATTGATTAGAGAGGCACAGGCTGAGGTTGTACGACAAGAGAATTATAAAATTGAGAGGATCAGGGGTGAGATCACCAGCTTCGTGCAGTATAGTCGTAGATTATTGACCCAATGTGGTTGCATGTGGGTTTCGGTGTCTGGTGGGGTCAGACAGATTGTACTGGAGGAGGCTCATGAGTCTCATTTCTCCATTCACCTAGGAGCCACCAAGATGTACCGAGATCTAAGTTTGAGTTACGAGCGGTCGTGCATGAAGCGAGAGATCACTTGGTACGTCGAGAGGTGCTTGACGTATAGGATGGTCAAGGACAAGCATCAGAGACCACATGGCAAGCTTCAGCCTCTAGAGATTCCCATATGGAAATGGGAGCAGGTCACAATGGACTTTATTACCAAGTTGTTGAGGACGGTGAAAGGAGATGATGCGATATGGGTCATCATGGATCGATTGACGAACATCGCCCATTTTCTGGCTATTCGGGAGAGTTTGTTGGCCGAGAAGTTAGCTGACGTGTACCTCTGCAAGATCGTTGCTTGCCACGAGGTGCTGGTCTCTATTGTATCAGACCGTGATGTTCAATTCACCTCCCATTTCCAACAGAAGTTCCATGAGGAACTAGGCACGAGACTGCATTTCAGCACTACTTACCATCCGCAGACAGACAGCCAGAGTGAACAGACCATTCAGACCGTCAAGGATATGTTAAGGGTCTATGTCATTCACTTTGGTGGGAGTTGGGATTCCCACCTACCCCTTGAAGAGTTTTCCTACAACAACAACCTTGATTCCAGCATTAGTGCTCCACCTTTCGAGCTGTTGTATGGGCGGAGAGGTTGTACCCCAGTCTGTTAGGGCGAGGTTGGCCACGGGGTCATGGGTCAAACCAAGGTAGTTTTGCAGACTACCAAGAAGATTTAGTAGACTAGGCAGCAATTGAAGACTGCTCAGAGTCAGTAGAAAATTATGTCGACTGACGATGATCTGAGTTGGAGTTCTAGGTCTGGGATATGGTGTTGCTGAAGGTCTCACCCTGGAAGGGTTATGATCCACATCAGAAAGAGGGGAATGTTAGGTCCCTGATATATTGGACCGTTTTAGATTATTGCTAATGTTGGCAAGGTGGCATATAGACCGGATCTTCTGGAGGAACTCCGTCAGATTCATATCACTTTCCATGTTTTGTAATTGCATAGGTGTGTTCTAGAGGAGGATGCGGTGGTGTCCTTGGATGACATTCAAGTCGATGAATGCCTGAATTATGTAGAGCAAGCGGTGGCTGTATTAGAAAGGAAGATAAACGTTTTGCGCAACAAGGAGATACCTCTTGTAAAGGTACATTGGCAGCATCACAAGGTATCCGATTGGACCTGGGAGCCGGAGTCCGAGATACAGGAGCATTATCCAGATTTGTTTGTTGCAGCAGACTTTGAGGATGAACTCTACGTTAAGTAGGGGAGATGTAACACACTGTTTATTTAAGAAAATAAATAAACAAATAATATAAATAATAATGGCCATAAAACCCTGAGATGTATTAGGTGATAATAAGTTGATATGAGTGGTTGTTATCGGGACTCAAATGTATTAAAATCTGGAAATGGGGGTTAAAATGTAATTTTCGGGCCAATTTTGAAGAGAATTCTGATGCTAAGGGATGTTTGACAATTTCTTCGGATTTGTGTTGAAAGGAATATTAGAGTCAGGGGGCTGTGGTGTAAGTTTTGGCCTTGCTTTGAAGGAAAATAGGAAGACAGGGACCATTCTTGTTATTATGGCCATAAGTTTCAAGGATCGGGGTATATAACCCTAACACTACCGTCCATACCCTAACCCTAAGGAAAACCTCTCCAGCTGTCCTGGGTTAAGTCAACCGCCACCACCTCCCTTCTATTCATTGTTCCGATCAATGGGGGGGCCTACCACCTCGCCATTGAGCACCGTTAGCTGCTACACTGCTATGGAAGTTCGCCATGGCAACGCCGCTGCCGGAGAACCGACGAGGGTCGATGCAGACGGTGAGCCGTCGTTCGTCAAGGTGGGCTTTACTGAGCTTTATTCCATGGTTTTCTTCCACCACTTCGTATCCTTTTCTTCTGTCGTCGAGCTATCACTGCCATCGCTTTATCGATCAACGGGTGCGGCTGTGGATGGCGCTTTCTCTCCGACTGTCGAGAGCCACCGCTGGCGTGGCTGTGATTGGGTGTGTTCCCCTTGCTCGACTTGTGTTAGTGTGTGCGTATGCCTTCTATTGGCCAGAAAAACGTGGGAACCACCATGACATCCCATCATGGTGGTCATTTCCTTGCTATCACCACAATCCACCGTTGATTGCGGCTAGAGTGCTGCTGCCGTCGCCGCCCACCACAGGTGGGTGTTGGATTCGTTTTGCAAGCTGAAATACGTATGGGTGATTTCATTTGGTCGGAAAACTGAAAACAACCACCACCGTCGTGAGGTAGTGGATGCTGCCTTACACCACCGCGGGGCCACCTCAAGGTGGTTTGTGTGTGTATGTTTAGCTTAGTTAGTGTGTATGTGTGTGTGTGTTTCTTTGGTATTTTCATTGTAATTGTAAATCAAAAGCGAAATAATGGAATGAAATTATAAACCACCACCCTAGGGTGGTGGCTGCCGCCTCCTACCGCCGTATCAGGTGGCGGTGTGCTTTGCCTTTTGGAGTTGATTCGTTCGGGGTGCTTGAAAACCTAATGGGCCCAAAGAAGCACAAATGGGCACAATGAAGCTTAATGGACTCTAATGGACCCAATAAAACCCTAACGGGGTTAATAATATTTTAGTGGGCTTAATAGGCCCAATAAAGCCCTAATTGATCTAAAAGCTCAACAAATTAATGAATGGGCTAGTATTTGGGTTGGAAATCCTAATTAGGGTTTTGGAAAACCCTAATGCCATCAAAACCCTAATTTTAGGGAATTAATCGAGACACACGGGACTTATTAATAACGTGGAATATTAAATAATAATCATTGGTGGAAATTAATCTAAGCAATATTGGACTTAATGGATTAAGTCCTTAACGGATTAATTCATTAATGGGTTAAGTAGGAAACTTAACCCTAATCATCATTTTATGTGAAACCCTAATTTCACTTGGGTTTATTGTTGGGCCTTTCTATTGGGTTACTAAATGGGCTACCCAAGATCAAGCAAATGGTCTAGAGTAATTTAATGGGCCTAGGGTAAGGCCCGTGTAAGGGTTTTGGGCCTAATTTGGAAAATTAGGCCATAGTTTGGGCCTTAATGATTACATGATGTTGGGCCTTAGAATGAGACCATGTATGCTTATGTGATGTTGGGCCATAGAATGAGACCATGTATGATTTGTAAAATTGGGCCATAGTTTGGCCCACCAACAGGGGTAGTTGGTTGATAATTGTCTTTGTGATAATTGCCTTGGTATGCTTATGTGATATGCTTATGAGATATGCTTATGTGATATGCTATGCGTGTCAGTGCTATGTAACCGGGAATGGTTCTTCCCTGACTCGGTCGTTAGGATCGAAGGGTAGGTCAGTACCCCAGAAATGCCTGATTGTATGATTATATCATGTTATTATATGATAGTGGTAGGGGTGAAATAGTCCCCGTTTACCGGTTGAAAGATACCGATGGCGGATACCAGTTGAAATATACCGATGACAGATACCGGTTGAAAGATATCGATGGTAGTTACTGGTTGAAAGATACCAAAGGGGTATACAGAACCCATGCACTGCTTATCTATATGTTTATGCTATGTTAGTATGTGATCAGTATGTTTATGATATGTTAGTATGTGATCAACATGTTTATGATGTTAGTATGTGATCAGTATGTTTATGACATATTATTATGTGATAGTGATAGGGGTGGAATAGTCCCCGGTTACCGGTTGAAAGATACCGATGGCATTTACCGGTTGGGGGATACTGATGGTGTTATGTGGTATTTGGTATGATGGGGGAACTCACTAAGATTCGTGCTTACGGTTTACATTTTTGGTTTCGTGTACTTTGTTTTAAAGGAAAGGAGTCGTCTTGTTCGCAGCGCATCATACTATGTTTTCCGCACATGAGATATTTGGGATTATACTCTGATATTGTTTTATATTGACATCTTTTGGATTATTTCCACCTTGGCATTGAGATGAGATATTAATATGAATGTTTTTATACTGTTGGTTTTATATAATAACTTAATTAAAACGAAATTTTTCGTCTTGAATTTTAGGATGTTACAAGTTGGTATCAGAGCCTTGGTTTGAGGGATTCAGGCACACACCCGGGTGTGTCTGAACTCAAACTAAGGACTTGGTATGAAAATTTTTTAAAAGTAAAACTGTTTTATAAAGAGAAGTTTGAAAGAATTTGAAAAGAGAAAAGGACTTTGAAAAGAACAAGGTGTGTGATGCGTGCAATCAACCGATCTCAAGTAAGTTTTCCTCAAGATACCCATACATGTTATGTTATGATCTGATATGATTATGAGAACTATATGCTAGATTAGGCTGAGGATCTAGGAGGATGCCTTATATGCCTATTGTATGTGCTTGTAGAGTTGCATGTTGGTACTGATCAGTCAGTGATAGGATAGCATGTTTAGGTTATGCCTGATTGTATGAGACTTTGGAGATACATGATAGTGTAGATTCCTGATATGAGGATAAACTGATTTGATTGGAACATGTAGGTTAGATTTGCCACTGTCTGAATGTTGCTTGCTTTGTGCTTCGAGGGACTCTTAGTAACATGAGCTCGCTACTAAGTGAATATGTTGAATCGCGAGTGGTATATTCACAAGGTAGCTAGTTGATATTAGTGGGAATTCCTTTAGCAACTGAGGATTAGGTGAGTATGGGAACCGAGGAAAGCCTAGGAAGTAATTTAGTGGGTTTGGTTGTGTTGTTAGCGAGCATTCGGAGTACCGGTTTGAGGAGGTGACTTGGAGGATTCGGGAGGATTGTTGAGGAATGTATGGATAGGTGTGGAAGGTAGTATTAGGCCTGTACTGCTGAAAGCATAGGATCCATACTCGAATCGGTGAGAGTCTTGGAGAATATGAGAAGCTTTAGGGAGAAGTTTGTGACCCAGTTTGGGGACAGAGGATGTTCCAGTTGTTGCAGCTTAGCCTTAGGCAAGTGAGCTAGTGAGGGTGACAGGGTGTCAAACCCTGAAGGATATGATTTCCAAGAAGTTGCAGATGCGAGATCGATTTTGAACACCCTGGAAAGAAAGTTTCGTGCCAGGTACGTATAGTAAAGGGTCCCGGGAAGAGACCCGTGACTTTTGATCATCGAGTGAAGGGCCAAAGTCATTGAAGCACGTATAGGACAATGCACAAGGCAGTTTGTCGCTCCAAGGGTTTAGGCTACTACAGGGTAGCGGGGTTGGTCATATCAAAAGAAAGTGATTAGTATTCCTCCAGATGTTGCGGGTATGTAGTCTTCTATTACTATTAAATGGATGTTGGGGATACGTTTCACGTTGGAGTTATGAGTGAGTTTGGATAAGTTAGATATCGGATCAGTTTCCTGTTAGTGTTTGGGGTTATCAAGAATCATATATGCCATCCTACATGCCGAAACAGTCCTTGATGAACCCACAGAGGGATGCATCTTGCAGAGCGGGTTCCGCGTGTACCGTTATCATTTCGGATCTTAGTTGAGATCTATGCAGGAGTATTGTTTGGAAGATCCTCAGTCAGGGTTAGAGTGATAGTTCACTAGTGAAGTCAACGTTCGGGGGTTCTATCATTGTTCACGTATGGTCGGTAATTGTCTATGGATGAACTTTGGAGTTCAAGGCACTACCATTGCTAGGATAGAGTTGGTGACATAAAAAAGGTAGTGTCAGTCGCGAGTGTTAGATGCATAAGTGGTTGGTCATCACATGTTCAAGAGAATTGTATTTTTGCATGGGTTGTGTTTAGTTAGAGTTTAGTGGTACTGCAATATTGGAAGTGAGAACGAGGATTCGTCAGAAAAAGTGAAGATTGAGACCTTCAATTGTCAGCATGGGAGATGGATTGATGCATTAGATTGGACCATATTTCAAGAGTACTCTTCAAGATTTCAGAGGATGAGCAATCTTAAGGTTTGATTGGTGATGGATTGCTAGCACTAGTAAGTATAGGTTATCGTTAGTGAAGACTTAGTCGAATCTAAGTGGGGGAGAGACTTTTTATAAAGTTCTCCAAATGTGAGTTTTGGTTGCGTGGGGTGTAATCTCTTAGGCACGTTGTCAACCAGAAGGGTATTCTAGTTGATCCGGCCAAGATAGAGACCAAGATGAAGTGGGAGATTCCGAGGTCTCCATCCGAGATTCAGAGTTCCTGGGTCTAGCGGGTTATTACCGGAGATTTATTTAAGACTTCTCAGAGATTGAGGTTCCCTTTGACCCAACTGACCAAGAAGTCCATGGCCTTTTGTTGAGGGTATGAGTAGCAGGCAGCCTTTGAGACTCTCAGAAAACAGTTATGCGAGGCACTGATTCTCACCCTGCCAGAGGGTGTAAAGGATTTTGTGGTTTACTGTGACGCTTTGATCATGGGCATGGGTACGGTACTGATACAGTGGGGTCACATGATAGCAGGTTTTGGGAACCATGTTAGAGTTCCGGTTAGGACTCTAGTTCAGTGATGTGTTAGGTCGAGTGCATGTTCGACACGGTATGGAAAGTGTTGTAAGACTACGGGGGTAGTCGTAGCATTCACTAGTGTTAATTTAGCATGGAAAGTGTTGTAAGACTGCGTGGGTAGTCGTAGCATTCACTAGTGGTCAGTTAGCATGGGAAGTGTTATAAGACTGCGGGGGTATCTGTAGCATTCACTAGCGGTCAGAGAGTGATAGAGTGTTATGAAACTACGAGTGTAGCCATAGCATTCACTAGGTTGGTAGATGGCATGAGCGTGTTGTTAGAACGCAGAAGGAACAGTAGTACCACCAGTTCGGGTGTAGCAGTGAGGATATGGAAATCCACTGACTGGATTTCGGATTTACCCAAATGGATTAGATCTGGTTAAGCACTAATGAGAAGGTAGGGACATCGCTACAGTTATTAGATCAGAGAAGCAACAGACTACTTCAGGACGTGTGAGATAAGGCTACCATTGGTCAGGTAGCAATCACTTTCAACCTTGGATTTGATGAAGAAAGGATTCAATGTATGGACCCGATTAGTTAGATCAGGAGGTTGTTCGAACCACAGTGGCATGATAACTAGTCGCAACTAGTTCCAAAGAAGGATTCTGTTCAGAAGCCGTGTGAGACGACTAAGTAGGGGTCCTTTGGCTCCGCAGCCGGGCTGGAACCCGGTATTTCAGATGATTGGCGAACAATTTGAGACCAGCTAGGTCTCGGTAGATGTTGGGAAGGAATATGTAGCAGCATACTACCTTA